ATCTTCCACACATCTTCCATACATCTTCCACACATCTTCCATACATCTTCCATACATCTTCCATACATCTTCCATACATCTTCCATACATAACATATGTTGACGGGTGAAGAGAGAGCAGAGAGCAACCGTAGGCGTAAAGCGCAGCACATGCAATCTATCAGATCTATCAGGGAAGCTCAACCTTGCATGTGCTGAAAGCCTGCAGAAAGCAAGCTAATCCAGGACACAAGCATTGGAGGCTTGTGAGGAAAATAATGTCGTGTGTCCCAAAAACACATGGACACGTGTGTCTTCTATGTTGTTTCCAAAAACAGATCTGTCGGATGGCTTCAAGTCAACTGCTGTGGTTGATTTCACTCAGCAAAATGGCCAAACTTAAGCAGAGTATAAGCACTTCACAAGCAGATACAAGCAGCATGTGCAGCACCATCAGCACCTCTAAACAGCTGTGACGAGAATCGCATCGGTTCCGCATGGTTCCCCTCCTGTCCTGCTCGGGGTCGTAAAGATCCCATCCACTGTCATGCTCCTAGCGGCTCACAGATTTCAGGCGTAGATTGCGCAGATATATATGTATATATTTTTCCATATATATATATATATGATATATTCAAATATTATCTAATAATTAGATTACTGGGGGATTGACACATGCCACCCTTTTCTCACACATGTAATTCCGTGCACGATTTCGTGCTGACTCTTCCTGTGATTCAGGATCGGAATTACAATTTCACAATTGCCATGCAGAGTTCATCCCTCCGTCCAAGAAAAATGGTCTCGGAGAATGACATGAGCAGCACATGTTGTCAGGACAAGCGAAGCTGAATCGATCTGAATCGTATAGAATAAAAACCACTGCAAGGTGAGAAAACACGCTGACAGGATCATGATTGACTCATGAAGAAACTCATAGATACATGTAGATACTCATAGAGTAGCACAGTAAAGCACTGTAATGCACAGTATAGCACTTCAAAAATGCTGAACACAGGCACCCGTCAAGACCTTGGATCTCTTGAACAATGCTAGGAACAATGCTAGTTGCTCACAACTCATCACAACTCGTTACAACTCGTTACAACTCCCCTGCGAATCTGCACTATCTGCATCTATCTGCCCTCCTCCTGAAGACCGTCTTTTCTCAATGCATCAGCAAATTTGAACGCAAACAGCATTGCTGGATTCCTGACGGAAACTGGCAGAAACAAATGTCCAGAATCATCATGAATCATCAGCATATTTTCAAGGCGTGACTATTTGGCAGAACTAAACATGAAATGAGACTTGCTCTTTGTTATTCTTTGTATTTCTTTATCTTCTTTGCATTTCTTCGCTCATGAAAGCTTCCGACCGCACCCTGGAGTGCCAAAGGATTCCACACTGTCGAGCAATAGGCGAGAGTCCTGGATGGCGAGTGTGACTGAACTTTTGGTGATCTCGAGAAATAGCTGTAATCTCTTGGTAATATAATGTAATATATGATGTAATATGATGTAATTAGATCACAGGAGTGAACCCGAAAGCAATCGGAATGAACCTGCAACATCTTGCGGAAACCAGAAAGGTGACACATGACAGATTCCATCAATCTCCCACCGGCAAATTCCAAGTCTGTGCTCTTGGGTGCTCCTTGTGATACCCGTTCAAACCTAGCAACATGTTGCGTCATTTATTTAGTATTAGTTTATAATAGTTTATATGTGTTTATATGCGATTTGTCTGTTAGATTGTGACAGGTGATTTTCCGAGAGGCTATAAAGATTTCCTTTCAGGCTGATTGCAAACAAATGGCAGAGTAATCACTCTTGTTCCAGGAATGTTGGCAAGACATGACTTAAAATCAGACATTTTTCGTTGTAAGTATATAGAAATAATAGTATAATAATAATATATAATATATAGAAAATATATAATAATATATAGATATTATATATATTATAGATAGGGATCTTGCTGCTGTCCTGCTCTGACCTGAGAATGAAGACCAGGCATCTCAGGTCCTTCACCAGGCACCAAAAAGTTCTGGACGAAACATGTCGGAAACATGTCGGAAACCTCACAAGAAGAGCCATTAACTTCTTGATTGTTTATGAATCTGTGAACATCCTGGTTCAACGTGATTATCTAATCTTAATTAATTAATCTTAATTAATCTGTGGTCCTGTGATGATCCAATGATCCACTATCTTATTGCAAGGAACCGAAGCGAGTTTGAAGTGCCAAGATGTGCCAAGATGTGCCAAGTCAAACGCTTGCGGAGCGGGCTCCTTACAGGTGATCGTCACCCGCAATTCAGTTGCACCAGTGACTGTAACCAGCTTCTCATCTTTGATAGTCTGCAAATGCAATCAAGTGGGAGATACAAGATGATGCAAGATGATGCAAGACGACAAGAGGATCGGCCAGCCAAGTTTTGAAGCTTCCTGGAATTTGGAGGTCAATTTGAGGTCTGTCAAATTGACAAAACGGGTGCCAAAGCAGTGCTCTGGTGATGGGAATACTAGCAAAGACCAACAAAGCACATAGCGACCTTTACACAACACTACCTGTACCCAATGCAGACTGGGAGTTGTGAATAGATTTGGTGTATGAAGAACAACGTAGCCGGAAAGACATGTCACAGCAAACTGCCTCAACTAGTCCAAACGGCACGTCAAAGTATTTTGCCCCTCTCATCCACTGCAAATCCTGCGATATGGGAAAACTGAACTGAGTCTAACACAAACGATCCTGTCTTGCAAACCTGCAAGCCCTGCGCAGTCATCTGGAGCCAGATTCAACATGATTCGCACACACTTGGGTTCTTTTTTCCGATTGCTCGCGCATCCCCCGCAGCAAACTCGGATTCCCATGGATTCCCCAGTCATGGCGGGTAGCTCCTGTTGAGCTCCGAGGTACAACATGGTACAACTAACTTTGAAAGCTCCGATTAATATCGATTCATACAGTAGTTCTTGGAGAGTGTTGCCGTGCTAAATCTGAGATCTCTTGCGACGTTTGCGATTTAATATCACTTCATTCACGTCATTCTCAAGCTGGTTCAAGTTCAAACGGATGGCAGCTGGCCCTCTGCTGCTCGCTTTGGCATATGAAAAGTCCAAAGCTTATCACGAACCTGCGCAAATGAGAAATCAAGTCGCTAATGAGAAATCAAGTCCTTACTCCTGTATGTGCCTCAAACATTTCGCACAGAAAATTTGTCTATCAAAAACTAAACTAGAAGCAACATGTTCCAGAAGGGCCCTCACAGCAAGGACATATCAGCGCACGTCGACACTATGCATCCCCTGTCGGACCTTCATCAGCGGATGGTCATGCTCAACCAATCTTTTAAGAGAACCTGAGTGTGCTCTTCGCAGGAACCAAGTCTTTTAAAACAGTGAAAGTCAAAGAAAACTACTGTAGCATCAACTGATAGTAGTACTACAGACATTGAGGCAATGGCGCAAGGTAGGCAGATGAGGCGCCTGGTCCGCCTACACATCCAAAGACATTGGGTCGTAGGTTCAAGAATCAGTTTGATTTGGCTTACAAGTGAGTCACTATGAGTCACTCAGAAGGTGGTTTTCTTTTGAAAATATTGAGCATCTTTGAACATCCACCTTATACAAAAGTGGAACATGCCTTCGACTTTACCTTTTGTGAGTCTTCTATTAACTCCAGCTTGTGCTCAAAGGGAGAGTCGCTGAAGTGCTACAGTCTGGAAAAAATGTCAGGAAGTGTTCCTCGCAACTCTTTCTGTGGCTGAATGTTTTGCTGCTTCATGCGGCACTACTCTGGAGTCGCACTCACTTATAACTTATGTTAACTTATAACTTATAAATACGTATAAATGATTATAAATGTATAAATGTTGTAAAATGTTATAAATATCCAAGTCTCTTCAGCAAACTTGGGCAAACGGGCAAAGCAGGGTACATCTCTGGTCAAAGGCGACTTCCAATGTACCCCTGCATAGAACTGCTTGTCTGCTTGCCCTTGCTTTGCAGTTTGTAGGTCAAGCGGTCAAACGGTCAAATGGTCTGAAATGTTCAGCTTTGTCACAAAAGCTTGTTGATTAAATGGATTAAAAGGGAGTAAATAACTCTCAAATGAAAATGTTCATTTCTTAAATGGTGCCAATGCATGTTAATGCCAACGAGATGCTAACGACATGTTCTTGACTCGTTGACTCAATGTCTCTCTATGTTTCTCTATGTCAATGACATGTCATTGATTCAATGACTTTCGCAGAGTGGCCGCCCGGCCTCCGTGATCCTTTGCCAGTTCTCGGCCTCGTCAAACTTGAAGGATCGGCTCGACCTTTGCGCTTTGCGAGTCTTTCACAGCGTCCCAGGTAGCATATAGGTAGCATATAGGTAGCATATAGGTAGCATATAGGTAGCATATAGGTAGCATATAGGTAGCATATAGGTAGCATATAGGTAGCATATGTATGGCAAATGGGTATGGGTAGCTTGGGAATGCGTGGGACAAATGATGACGTGATTTTGTAGTGATCAATTATGATCAATTGGTGCAAGAACACAGGGATGTGTTGACACAGCCAGGTTTTCTCAGTCCACGCAGCCGCTGTGTGGAATTCCCGTATGACTCCCGTATGATCAGTAAGTTCTGTGACAGTCTGTGACACTGTGCTTTTTTCAGTGAGAACCTGGCCATCTGCAGTGGGCTTCCCAGATTCGCTTTTTTGCCTTTCAGTTACCATGTGCCACGAATTTGGTCTTCATCAAAAACCACATTGGCAAACATTGCATAATTTCGGCATGTCAATAAGGGAGGACTGCTGGAAAGTGTATACTGTATACTTATTTTGACACTGCAGTTTTCAAAAGTCATGCTCCAATTCTAAAATATTCAAAAGACTTTCTTTGTGATCCTTTTCCATGCCTCAAGGCCTTTCGAGAGTGGCCTCTGCTTTGACTTCTTAGAATATCTTGGAATATCAAGTTTGTCAAAAGTTTGTCAAGGCCTTTTCTGAGGGTAAAAACAGTCTTTTGGTTTCTTTTTGACAAAATTCACCTTGTTATGTTCCTGAAGCTGCTGTTGGCCTCATCACAGTGGTTGAAGCTTCGAAACATGCTGCAGGTGATGCCACTGATGTACCACCAGCTGCACCTTGGCGCATGGGATAGCTCGAGGCAGCTACAGCTAGAGGCATCAGAGATCATTAGAGCGTCGGCACTTTACATGTTGCTAAAATATGCATCAATATGCATCAATATGCTACAATTGTACTTCAAGAATCTTCAAGATATCTCAACAATCCTCAGCATGTACCACATAGACATCCACACACATACCTCCACTAATCTCAACTAATCTCAACTAATCTGAACTAATCTCAACTACCTCAAGTATCGCTTTACTGATCGAATCGTAACTTCGTAGGATTTCGATGGATTTCGTAGGTACCGTGCCAGTCATCTGCCCGGCCATCCCCAAGGTACTGCAGGAGAACCTCCACGATGCAAAGTCGCACAACGTCGCACAGAGACAGAGACGGAGCATGAGCAAAGCACTTTGACTTTCACGGTTGACTTCACGACAGGTAACACATGGTAACACTGGAATTTAACGGGAGTCAACTGCACTTTCAAGTGTTCAAGATCGGCCGCAACCCGCAACAGAAAAAACTTGGGAGACTGAACCGGACATCTTGGCCGATGCCAATGAAACAAACCAACATGGTCGGCATGTCAAATAGCATCCTTTCATTTCTGCAATTTTGACCATTGGCTCAAGTGAACGGAAGTTAACACTCCAGCTGTCTTGATCCATCTTGTAGGAAACGCTGAAATCTTCCGGTCAGCGGCTTCCAACCTCATACTGCTCCAGCTCTGTCAAGCCCGCAAGATCCAAAAAGTCGCTGTGGTGCCTCCAAGCTGTTGAAAAAATGCGGAGAACATCAGAGAACAATAGGCAAAACATGGCAAAACACAGTTGTACAGACTGATGTAAAATGAAGACAAAGGATGACAAAGGAACATCTAAGAAACGTACAACAGCTCCTTCGTTCCCCGCTTCAAGTGCATGTGGCATCTGACACAAGAAAATACCCATCAGGTGGGCTCCAAGATCCTAGATCTTGCCGGCAAAAAGATAAGTCCATTAAATTTGCATAATTTCCATCAGATTTTCGATGAGAAATGCTCCAACCAGGTGCAGCCAGGTCCATCTGTTGCCTCTGTTGAAACTGATCAGCAAAAAGCGCTGGATTGTCCTGGAGGGACCCTGCCAATGGAAAAATCAAGGAATTACATGTAATTACAATATGATGCAATTATCATTCAATGACTCTTAGGGTCCATGAATTCCTCATTGGAATTCGAAAAGTCTGCGCAGTGCCGTGCATTGCGATGCAACGCGACTTGTCACGACTTGTCGACTCCTTGGACCGAACATCCTGGCGCACGGCGCCAAGAGATGAGATACCACACTGGCAAAGCGCTTCAAGACTAGCCACGAATCCTAGAAACGAATCATAGCTGAAACGAGAAACCTAGCCATAGCCTCTATCATGGCCGGCCTAACTGAGCCTATCTGAGCCTTGATGTTGTTTGGTCAACTCGCCCGACCCCGCAAGGGATACAAGTGTCGCATACCAATCCCACTGTAATCATCTGCAAACGACACTGCAAGAAACTTTCCTCTCAATATCTCATAATAATTCATAAAATATACATAATATCTCTGAATCCAATTTGAATTCACATTTCCAAGACCCAAATAGTGCTGTCAAAATATGATGTTGAAAAGCTTGTCTGGCAGGGTGATTCCCACTGCAAATGGTTTTGATTCTTTGCTTCAAATTCCCTTCAAATTTATTTAATCAAGCGTTTGCAGAGCCGAAACCACAGTTTGTGAAGCAGTCTGTCACCATCACCCCAGCAACGAATTCCATCCAGAACCTGAATGTGGCTGTCTGTGGGTTTCTGTTTCTAACCCCGTGCTTCACCTATTTGCAGCATCTAGTGAATCCAGTGTCTGCGTATTCTGATGTACTGTGAGGATTTCAACATGTCTTGGGACATACAGGATGCCCAGCCCTTGTGCGTAGCAAGCCTCCTCATCGCGGTCCGTTTCGAGCAGTTCCTCAAGTCATTCTTGTTAAGTGTTTCTTCAAGCGTTTGCATCTGTCTCTGGCAGACTTTTCCGGCGACACTGAAATGCATTGTGGAACCATAACGGACGCGAGAATCTTTCCTCTTCGCATCTGCTCGTTCCCAGCATTTCCCAACCCCTAGCAATCGCATTTGCTTCTCGTCACGCTTTCAATGTATCTGCAGAGGCCCCCTGCCTGGTTTGACTGCAAAATCTCTTCCATGCTCGGGATGGGAAGCGCATGGGCCTCGCAAATGAACTCATTTGCCATTATCCAAAAAGGATTTTGGAACTCACCCTTTGAACGGATCAAGACTCAAGACTCCAATTTCGATGTGGCAAAATGGAGCTGAAAATGGATTGGACCAGATTGAAACAGATTGAAATGGACAATGGATGAAAATGGAGGCTGTGCTCCGGAATGCTGGTGTGACTGAGCTTCAATCTTTTTGCACGTAGCCGGCAAAACATGTTAGGACGTCGTTGTCGAAGTATTCCTTCGCAAAAGATTCTGCCATCTGGTTGTTATATATTGTCTGGTACCATCACAATCCTGGTAAAAGTTGATACCTGAATCACCTTGCATCGCTTGAGCCTCTGTCTTTCGCAAAACGTTCCGCAACTCTGGTGTATTGTCACAGTGTTATCACATGTCACTGTTTGACAAGTCATCTGTAATCATCCGATTATCAACATTTGTCTTTTTTGTCAAGGCTTATTACAGCATGTGGCGGCGCTGGCATGTTCCTCAGGCTCAAATTTTGAGGAACGTACCACTTCCTGGCAGACAGGCAAATAAAGAAACATTTATCTTCATCTACAAGTGTGTATATATATATATATATAACAAATTAACAGGTATGACATCCATTTTTCATGCATGTTTATTGCAAACTGAATTTGAACTTGCAAGTCTGCTGAGTTTCGAAGCTGCCCTTGACCAGAAAATGTGGGCTATTAGGCTATTCAAGTCAAGCGTTGGGGAACACTCCTGCGTGATATGCTGTCGCTCCAAATCGGAAGCAGGACATTAGAAATAAACGTGATGTCAACAGCTCCTGCAGAGCTTCCAAACAATAAGTAATTGTCAATGCAGTGCTGGAAATAACCGAAGGCGATGCTATTGCGTGTCTTGCACAACGACTAAAAAATACGAAAAAGATAAATGTGAATGTGCTGCTGAAAAGGTTCGCGGGTAAAGCTGCCTTATTCTTCAACTTGCATGCGAAAGGTCCACGTAGCAGCTGGAAACTCCTGTAAGGCGCTCCTCAGCAAAGAATTCCAATCTCTGTTTGGAAACTCCTTTTCAGCGGAGATGTGACATTGACCTCTCCCTGAGCAGCCCGGCTATCCACTAGCCTACGCAACAAACGCTCTTGTCCACCTTCCACGTCCACAACCTCGGCTGATCTTGGCTGTTTACTACACGTACATGTACACGATGGTACAAGCACACATTCGCACACACTTTCCAGCATATTTAAACACCTTAGAGCGCTCATTTAATCCAGATTGCCTTCGTTGGCACAACTACAGTGTCTGGGACAGCGGCCACCTTTCCCAAGCTGCGCAGAATCCAAGACATGTACTGGTTTTGATGCCTTCATGAAAGGCGCAAGAGGCAAGATGTGGAAGGTGTGGAAGGAATTGACATGAAACAATGCAGGTACAACGTGAATGTGATATGTCGTGATTCTAATATGGTCAAGCAGATCCAAGCAGTAAACTTAAAGTTTACTACCCAAACTATATCAACTATATTCAACTATTGCATTGAGGGTGTAGCCGTTGCCAGCCGTTGCCACCGCACACATGGTCTACGTATGACTTACAGTCGACTGAACGGCAGAACGGCACCTGTAATCGTCAAACTGAATCTGTGGGAACCTGGCACAGTTCTGGCAGAGGCACATGACATGTATGACATGCGTCAGATGTGTCAAACATGGTGCCGGTGCACCGAACTACATCGAACTACATCGAACTACCATAGCTTTTGTTCCATTTGATTCTTTTTTATGATCTGTTCAGAAGTCTCATATCTTTTGGATGTGAAATGATAGTCCCGGAACAGAACCACGAGATCATCTGAAACGATGCCAGAGAGGCATCACATGGCAGGAGTATTTCTCTTTCTGATGCGATTGCAAGACCTGTAGCAGTAGCTGCGGGCAGAAACTACTTGGAACAGTTCATAATACAAATGTCTTCCGTTGTCACCGGCATCACAAAACAAATGGGGCCACACATGTGAACATTGCGTTGACTTGTGGACGCACGGTTCTTGTCACTAGTTTCTTCCGGTCATACCTTCACACAATGACAACTATTCTTTTTCGGCGACAAGTGATCTTGCAAAACAAGTCACCATGTTCATCATGATCATCATGGTCAAGGCTACTTTTTGTTGGCCGAAACTAGCTTTTCGGGGACCTCAATGCTGAAAACTGCACAAGTGTTGTCGTCGCAAAAGGCAAAGGGGGATGCTTGGATCATCTTGGATCGTTGCTGTCAGCTTCTTCCATCAGGATCCATCAGGAACTCCGGATAACTCCGGAACCTTTCTGAACCCTGAGCCGGGAGCTTATCTCCCGAACCTCTCAAAACTTTCACCTGCCCTACAGGGTTCCTTGGTTGGGAAACAATTAGAGAAATGAACCAGAACATCGGATAACACAAAGAACCTTGGAGTTTGAAGGTAGAGAAATGCGTGTACCGGAAGACGACATGGAACACAGACTTTTGTAAAGTATTTCGGTGGTCTCCGGATGACTGTTGGGCAAACATAGGGATTACTGCGCTGTTTGCATGTTGGAAAAATACGATATCACTCGACGATTGGAAGCACGTTGACTGAGCACGAGTAGCGTTGCTAGTCTCAGCATGTCTCAGGTCCAAACATTCATGGAAAATCAATGAACATCATGGACACGAAACCAACATATTTCCGGTGAACTGAGCTGCAAGACCACAGGTTGGGGATCAAAATCCTGCCAGCCAAGTTTGTCCTGCGAAGTCGGCGAAACCAAGTCCAGTGTGTCTGCTTGAACACGTATTGTTATGTACTGTTTCTATTGCGAATCGTTCGTGGATTTTGAAAACCAAATAAATCCTACGTCTGAACATTTGCTTTTACATGTCTTGAAAAACAATTTTCCGCTGTCACTGTCATTGATTGTTTTAAACACGCCAAAACAACCACACTTCACCGCATACATCTTATGATTAATTTTGATGTATCCGCTTCATTGAATGCACTATGAATCAATTGAAAGCGTGGGAAGTTTAGGCCATTAGAAGTTCCAATAAGACGTTCAAAGTATAGAAGTGTGTAGAAACCTCCGTGAATTGCAGAGCACTGCTTCCCCCGTCCCCAAGGAAGAACGAACGAACGAATTTCTGAAGAAGTTCTACGATGAAGCTGTGATTGCCTCAGCAAGAAGGGGCTATGTTCACAACAACGTTGCGAATTTTGACATTGTACCTTTATGTGTGAAAAGTCAGTTATACAAATTTGACAACTGGTAACCTGGTAGCCACATGGAAACTGTAAGAGGGAAATCAGCATCGCGATGAATCCACACACACACACATTTTCAATTTACATATAATTACACACTTGACACACACACACAGAGAAAACATGTGAACTGTATCGTAAGAAAAACAAATGCAAGGCCAAAATAATACTGATAACTGATAACATGTTGATGGACACTCATGTCAAAGACTCCACATTTCAACACGGAAAAACAACAAATTGGTAGGTCAATGGCCCTAATAAAAGCTGATACATAACATATGATAAGCATATCAGGCTCACAATCTGCAGAGTTGATATTACGAATGCACGTGCATAGACACGCACACAAGTACTGCAAGCAGGCCAGATTCATATGGATCATGCCTGAAACAAAAGAATCATCATAATAATCACATGCAAATGAATTGCCCGCAGTATCTACGCCATCTACACTACCAGTACTGACTAGATGCCAAATATCATATATACCAACTTGAGCTGCAAACATACGGGCTGCCACACTGAATAGAAATCGTCATTCCATGTTGGACATATGCCGTGAATGACTTGTTGCCAATAGGAGGCCTGTTACAACTTCCCATCTGGTCTCTAATCTCCGAACTCAACACCTAATCCTGCACCTCATGCCATTCAGCCTGGACAAGTTTGATAGCTTGACGAATCTTGACGAATCTTGACGGATAGCTGCCCTGCCTTTGTAACAGGGAGGGCCATCAAGGTCGAAGTAGAGGCAGCGAGGCCTTGCGTCGGATCATAGGATGTTCTTGAAGAAATTGAACGTATTGAGGCCATTGGAGGCAACGTCAGATGGATTGAACACAAAAAACCAATGTCTGACGTTTTCTTACGTTTTCTTGCTTGGCATTTTCGATTGCAGGACGCGGCAGAATGTGTGTAGATGTGTTTAGCACCAATAATCTCTGGATGGATGCATGATGATGCATGTCAGTGAAGTAGGTCCGAGCTTTGAACGAAGAAGACTCCAAGACTTCATTGAACAGCTGGTGCTTCCCAGCCCTGCTGCACATTGCAAACACGTGTAAATGCACTATCTAGCCGCTTCTCGAGACCTGCGAATTCAATCAATTCTAATTTAACAAAGCAAGCTGTCCTAAGCTGTCCTGCGTGTCCTGCGTTGTTAAAATCTGTCACACTCCACTCAACATGAGAAATGGCTTCAAGGATCTGAGTTAAACCTCAACACCTGTACCTGCCTCAACTACCCCCAGCTGTTCATGACAATCAACAAATGCTGACAATATCTGTAATTATCATTGAAAGGTTTCTGCGGATGTTCCATAGCAACTGGCCAGCAGGCCTCTCGCACTCATTGATGTAAATCCACCAGTCTTCATGACTCTCAAAGAACGAGAATTTCCTGGCGAGAAACAAAGGCTGAAGAGACCAGAGAGATCCCCAGCGCCTCCAGGGCCTATGATACTTTGATTTTAGAGCTCAGCATAATATATAGGTGCTACTTGATATCGGCAACTTCTGCACTTTTGGGCTTTTGCGTGAGTCCGCACTCACAGCGCTTGCCCACACACACACATGGATGAGAGCCAAATCACTGTCATGGCAGATGATTTTGAATCAAAGGAGTTGAGAGGGCTAGCAACCCTCTGTACAATACGTTGTCATGATGGTTGAAACTTATGCCACAGGATTTAAGTATCAGAAGTAGTCCGGAATATGGAAACGAAACATAACAAAACATAACAAAACTACCTTGGCATAGCTTAGCAATGCTTAGCAGCTTGAAGTTCACCGCCTGGCTGATTCGATTGAATACGATACTTCGCAAGGGTCTGATGACATGCCTGGAATGGGCAGAATGGTGGAGCTATGTGGAGCTTCGCCGGCTGAACGCAGTGGCAATTTCCCCAAAGGATCAAAAATGATCAAAAAGAATCAAGGCGAATCAAGAAGGTGTACAATAATTAACAATAATAGTATTGTATATTTGTATATCCTATCACATATTCCAGCACTTAGGCACCTAGGCAACTTAGCCACTGTTGACCACAGCTCTACTCCATTCCTGAATCTAACCTTCCTGAATTACCTCCTTGCTATTTAGAAGCAACTGAGACTTGAGATAAGAGCCTTGCTATGTACTCCTGAATAATTTTCTCATTGCATTTGAAATTTTCTCATTGCATTTGACTGTACTTCGCGCTTGAACCAGTTGACCTCTCACACTAACTCGTGGAATGATCAGAAGATATTCAGTTTGCAACATTCAAACGCCTGGCTGCTTGTAATACGCATACGGCATAGCTGTCAGCTTGGCACCAGGGGGCCTCAGTTTGCAGCAAGTGAAATCGATAGCTAATTACCCTATCTGTGAGTGTTTTGAAGTCGTTCTGTTCAGATCACTGAACGGCCAATGCAACCCGTTCTTTCATTCTGGCTCTCTGGGCGCTTCAAAGTAGAGCCGCACACCGACGTGACACATGAGACTGCAATACGAAGGTCTTGCTGATAGTTAGAGAGGTCTCCAGTGACTCTTTCCTCATAGGCTTGCCTCCATTACCTTTCCATGGCCCACATGTTGGGGCCACAGGACAGCAAATTGCTTTGCTGTAGCTCCTCTGCAGTCCCAAACCTGCCACTGACTGCCCCGTAACTCATGTTGCAAATGCATCAAGAGCATATCCACACAGTTCTGACCTTTAAAATCCTTCAAACCAATGACACAAAGTGTGTCCTGACATGTCCAATGAATTTCTCTTCTGAATTGGCACACACTTGCAAATCTGAACTGACATCTCCTAGAGATCGGAAAAAGGAGCAAAGCAGGATTCTTTTGGTAGTTGTTTGGTAGTTGTTTGGTAGTTGTTTGGTAGTTGTCCTTGATTGTGTCACTCATTTGTTTCAATTTTTTGGTCCGTGATTTTCCCTTGCAGTCAAACAAATCGATCCTTTCCCTTTCTTTGCAAGATCTCTTGCCATCTTATCAAGCTTTTGTCTGCGCATTCCAATGTACATGAACATCTGCACAGAGACTCAACCCCTGCCCAGTGGCACACTCAAACATGTGCATTTCTTGTATATTATATGTGTATGTATATATATATGTATAAAACATATATGTATATTATCATAATATAATATCATGTCATATCATATCATATTATATCATACCATATCATATCATATCATATCATATTATATCATACAGTATCATGTTATAGTATATTATACTATATTATATTATATTATATTATGAATATATTATATATTGATATATACACAGTACACCACAGCATGCTTATCAATATTTCTCAGGTCATATCACTGCATGTTTATATTCAGGCGAATCTATTGTGCGTACTGTTTTCTGGAAATAACGTAATGGGTCGTAGCATTGTTCTGTACTCAACATTCAGTGTTCTTAGTATCAGGATATCTGAGACGACTTGAACAAAGAGAGTGGCTGGCAGTTCAATTCAGCGAGGTAAGGGAGATCAAGTGAATATACCGCAACTGGAAGAAATAAGAGGAAGGTACAGAGAGGAAACTGCCAGCGTTTCTGACTCATTGAAGATATTTGTCAAAAAGGCTAGGAGAGGATGGCAGTACGTGGGTACGGCTCGAAAATCCTTTACCAACAAAAATGTTGTTTGAAACACCAGCGTCCAAAGACGATGAGATCCGTGGTCCCTTTATGTCCCTTTGGCCAATTCAGAGCCATGCCATAAGTGGGCCAGTGTCACCACGGCCGATCGAACTCATTGTCCCGAACGCCCAAGCTCCAACTGGGATCATCAAGCTGAGCAAACAAAGAATTGACAGCAAGCATTGGATAACAAATTTGGAAGAATCAAATGAATCAAATGAATCACATATGAATCACATATGAATCACATATGAATCAAATCGATTCTTCCAACATCTTCAACATCTTCCAAGGCACCCAATTGTCCTTTCGAAACACATTGCCATTCAATGCTAAAGGCCAAGACGGAGGACGCAGCGATCATGCTGAAACATCTGAAACACATGTGCTTCCATCTTTGGTGCATTCAGGACAAGGCTGATCTTCAACATTTCTGAGGACAAAACAGCAAACAAAATCTGTACACCCTATTGCACGAACCCGAGGGAATATCACACAACCAAACTTCAAACTTGGTCAATTTGCGGTTGGTTCCCTGCCATTCCCTGCCACAAATAGTGAAATTATGTGAAATCCTTAGCGCAGCCCACATGAATACAGATTCATACAAGTACCTTGATATTTGTTGCAGGTTGTTTGTATTTTATGTCCTTCCCCACGGTCAGAAGCAAAACATCTAGCAAAACAAGGCAAAAGTAACTGTATTTCATAGTATTCCATAGTATTTCATCATTCTGATCGCAGGCTGTTCATCAAGTAGAGGAATCAAGCGGACCCGCGGCTGTCCGAGCACCCTCTCTTCCTTGCTCCCAGAGAAAAGGATGATGCAAGTCGTCTCCCCAACGTTTGCCGAACCTCAAAGAAAATCGCAACACTCTTGACAATTTTGATGTGAATTATTGTGAAGTGGATGCAATGTGCGAACACCTTTCCTGCAAGGGCTTTGGTTTTTTGATGTTTTTTGGGCCTGTGATTAGAATATCTCACGTGAACAAGCACGCACGTCTCATCAGCGTCACTCTTTTCACCTTGTGTAGCAACACTCACTGCTCATCGCAAGGCTGTAGATTGGCAGCGCAGCCAAGTGCCCAAATAAACATCACAAATGTCCAAAGTCAAACCAGGCAGTTTTTCACTGCATTCAGAGTCTCTCGAACAAAACGCTGATGTGTCAAGTCAGTCAAGTCATCATGGAAGATATCCACAAGGACTGCCTGTCTGAAAACTTGAAAGCGTCGATGGCGAGAGTTCAAAATCGTCCGAGTTCATGGAATGCATGCCATGCATGGGACAGGTTCTGCAGTGACCGAAATCAGACTTTCCCAATCTTTTCCGGATGTTTTTGCTCGTCTGCCTTGATTCTGGTGTGCGCAGAGGGTGAACATGGCGAAGTCGAGCTGAAACTTTGCAACACTGCAATACCAACCTCTTCACGCACAAAAGTCATAGCATGGTTCATAGAGCTGAGAAAGCTGAGAGTACTTAGAGATCCTTAGAGCGTTTCAGTGTATGTGAGAAAGCCAATAGGCTCAAGCGAAGTTTCGCCAGTTGGGCTGCAGTACTGCACCACCAGCTGGTGCTCGCAAAAGGCGCGGTGTTCCTTCCAGGATCTTGGAGACAGACAAGTGAAACAACAAACACGCCAGGGTTTATTTTTGTTCATTTTTGTTTCTTATTGAATTGCTTGCCGTTGCTGCCACACGGGGCACCAATGCTGAAAGGGGGCAAGCACATTTGGATACCAGCAAGTCATTGAAAAGTGAAGCCAGCACAAGTTCTCTAATTGACTGCAAGATTAACACCCAAAGCCGTCTGAAGGAGTGCTAATCCGATGCTATGCCATGCATGAACCATCGATCTTGGCAACGGGAGGGATTTTGTATTGCCAAGTCCCGCTTGAACTGACAGGTGAAGGTCTGTAGGGAGCCAAGGGCAAGTCGAAAATGGACAATGTTTTACCATGTCTTACTGAGATCTACTGCGTGCTCTTTGGGGTTTTGAGGGTACAATATCTGAAGAAATCATGTTTTCATACTGTCCGCCCCAAGTTTCCTACCAGTCTCATTGCAATTCCAGATTTTGGTCATTTACTTGTGATTCAAAGTGCTATCTCGTTGCCTTCGTGAGAGATTCCAACGCACCTGGCTCTCCATACAGGGGCTCGTAGTATTCTTGCGCCACCATCAATGTGTGATCTCTGCCAGGTCCGTAGGTCATCACCTCACGAAGCTGCCAGCTCTGAAGCTGTCTGAAACTGTCTGAAACTGTCTGAAACTGGAGAAACCCTTCAGTGAACCTTCGGAATGACTCTGGATGTATCAAGACGTAGACATGGTAGATATGCAAAGATATGCCAAAAATGTGTGCACATATTATTATACAACGGATTTAGATATATTCAGATATTATACAATGGCATTAATATGCATTAATGGCATACATTCACAATGTGGACATGTGGTGATTCCAGTGATATGAACCCGACCTGACGCTGCACGTGACTTGGAGCTGAGTCTGCTCGAAGGATTTTTCCGTTGATGGCGAATGTGAGACCCTTCATCTCGCGCAGCCTTGTGACAACTTGTGACAACTTGTCAGGGTTCAATTTCTGTGAAACTATGCAAACATATGCAAACTATCTAGACACATCTAGACTTGCTTCTTCAGATTCACCTCTTTCGTTCATGTTCTTGTTATTTTCTAAACAATTTTCTCATTAATTTTCCTCTCCCGAAAAGCACGGAAAACAATATAAAACAATAGCATCAGCAAATCTGTCCGAAAATGGGTCGGAGTCAACGGCTACAAAAAATGTTACAAAAAATGTTACAACGCACTGCATTGCTGCATGCGCACTGCATGATCTGCATGAGCACTGCCAGGCCGCTGGGCTGGTGTGAAAAGAGAAAGCTCGCTGCTCACTGGAAAGCTTCGATAAAGGCTGCGAGGTACACAGCCGGTCCTTCGCAACATCTCCTTATCGCATCTTATCGCTGCAAAAAAAAACACCATGTTGCCAGTCACGTAGGAAAGAGTGATAAAGAGTGTATTGGGTCTACTGCGACTTGTGTATCTTTCTGCAAGCAAGCCATTCCATCCAGCGAATTGCAAGGCTTCTTTATCCTGTATTGCGTGGGGCAGGATAGGATGAACAAGTGATCCATAGAATACAACCGTGTCAAATTGGACGTATCCAACAGAATCTCTAAACCGTCCTTTCCAGCAAGCCTTTTCTATCAATGGATGCAAAGCATCTATCCACGAAGCTGGAAGGTTGTGTTGAGTTGCGCCCTCGATCATGACTGCGAGATAGCGCTCGGATGGCAAAGTTTCGTAAAAGTTATCCATGACGTCAGGACGCATGACATTGAGTGTGCACAAAACCAGCTCGCCATTTCCTGTACGGCTTGCACGAAGCATAAATTTGAAAGTTTGATGTGAGCAGCGACCTAGTAACCTAATAACTATATCCTAACATGACCTCGCTAACCACAAGATGGTCCTGACACAAACCCAGCGAACCAGTGCAACTGAGGTTCTGGTTTCCACGTGTGCTTCCAGCTCTTCATAGGAGCTTTCTGTGCTGTCTAAGCGTTTTTTCTCTTCGCAAGACACCATATGAAGCACCCCATGGACTGCATCTGTTTTGCTCCGAAGAACCGTAGCCATGCCATGGCTGCCGCCAAACACCAAGCGAAAACCAGGAAGTTTGGCGGCGCAACTGGATTGAGGACAAATTCCACGCATTCGCAGCGAGATTTTGTTCATCAAAGCACCAAAACCGAAGTAGGCCGTTGCGCCCGCTACACTCATGGTTCATAACTTGTTCATACGAGCATCTGAGGGCATCTGAGGGTCTGGGAGAATCGAAAGGACGGGGCTTTGCAGAGTCACATTTCGAAACTCAACATCTGCGAAGGTTGTGGAGACAGTGACAGGATCTGCAGCACGGAATAATGCATGTTTTGGCGATTGTGAAGGCTCTATGTGCAACTGCAACACAGAGAAATGATAAAGGAGCTAGTTCCCACAAACAAGTTCTCCACTGGACTGAAACCCAGAAAGTGTGCAAGAACAAAGAATGAAAAGAAATGATAAGAATGCATTTATTGGACAGAGTCCGTGATCGGAAAAGAGAATCTAGAAGTCTCATGGCGGGGGCGGAGCAAAGTTCCCACGACGGGTTTCCAAAGCGACAGAAGCACACAGGAAAACATGGGACTGCTGGAGTCCATCTGATGTGAAAATGAACACAATCTGTAGATATCTGTAGTGCGTTGCTCTGTTCGGATTTCCTGGGTTATTTAAGTTCTTGAAGCAACTTGAAGCTATTTTAGATACCTGACTGACTTTCTGTCGAACTCAGCTCAGCACACATCCCTTTCGAAAAAGCATGGCAATCGCAGCAATTGCAGCGAATGAGTGTGGCACCCTTTGTTGCCACTTGCAGTGTTCAATGTTGAGAAATATATGTGGGTTCTCCACCCCTGAAGCATTCTGAACTGGAGAAAACACTCCTTTTGTTGAATGTTGCCAAAGTGACGTATTTGTTGGCAAATGTTGGCATCATGACTCCTGTCAAATAGACTTTTGTGCAAGAGCAGCCATACCCATCTCTGGCGTGACTCGATCCCCACTTGACAGAAGCAACGGGCAACATCTGCACACACTAAAACTAGGGTGCCCTCCAATTCATGTTTGGTAAAGTTGCACCAGCAGTGTATATATTCTATTATATATATATATGTTACATGTTCATACATGTTCTATATTGGAACCATTTAGAACCAGCAATCTGCCTTCATGGCAAGGTCTGTGTCAGCGATGAAAACAATGCTCCTTCCGCAGCCCACCCTTGGGCGTCATGAATTTCAAGCGGAACCTTAGCAGCTTTGGCACTGAGTGGAGGGCTTAAACATAGTTTCCAGAGGAAAAACCAAAAGCATCCAAAGATATCCAAAGATAAAACCAGACAATAAGTTTAAAAAGCAAAGCTTTATCAAGGAATGGTCCTCGAATCAGTGCTAGAGTTCATGAGGATTCCGACCGGGGAGTCCGGGGAGAAGGCAAGCGATACAGTATCTTTAATGATCTGTATTCTTCAGCCGCAAGTACCCACAATCTGTTCGCTCGGCAACGTTCTTTCAAGATCTTTCAAGGTCAAAATTCGATAGCTTGGAAGTGGTGCAAAATGGTGCAAAATCCTCTGAAGCATTCATGGTTTCGTGTGAACTGCGATAAAATCCGATAAAAAATATATAAAACGCTCACCGAAAGGTGAAACTTTCCCAGATCATCCCAGATCCCAAATCTTGCGGGATCCGGGATCCGGCATTGCAACATATTGCAACATCAAACATGCCCAACTGCAGATTGAGTCGGTGGAGTCACTGCAACCACTCAATCCAACCCACTACGCGAGTTGCGAATGAAACAAGGGACTGATCTGTAATGCCCTGGAAGTAGTTGTTAGACACGTTTATAGCGCTTGGGTAATTTTGATGACAATAACATTTGCTGGTTCCATCTGGTTCCTTTCATTTCTTGCTGCATTTCTTGCTAGCTCTTTTGAATTCTTTGCATGTTTTCTCGTGTGAGTTCAACCTGAGCTCTGAACGGCGTAATGCAGATCCGTCCCGGCACCTTCTGAGGCGGTTCTAAATTCCACTGGCTGACTGACTGATAAGCTTTGTTGCAAACAGTGAACTACGCCTAACTACGCACTCCTAGTATCGCCTAGTCCGAGAAAAATCGGAAATCAGAAAACTGTTTGGGCTTGTCACAACCTTTACAAACCCTGCTTTGTATTTCTGTATTTCTGTACTCATTTCATCCATTTTCCAGTCTTTGTAACATTTTGATGCATTTTGTAACTATGTCGAAGAAGCTGTTCATCTCCGGGACAAATCAAGACCGCGAGTGATGCCTTCAAACCTTACACTTGCAAAGTAAAATCTGCAAACGCCACCTTGAGAATCATCTTCTATATTGTTCTAGAACTTTCATCAGGATCTGAATTCATTTCATCCAAATAAACGATCGAGTCAAATCGCTTCAAACATTCGAGATTGGATCCGTCTCGTAGCTCACAGCCCGACCTCGCAGAAAGGGCTTTGCACCTGTTGGGTCGGCTGCGTGTCCCAGGATCTCAAAATATCTCACATTCCAAGTCTGCGGCAAACTTCTTCCGACTCTTTCAACATCTTTCAACATCTTTCAACACTTGGCAACTTGGGCATCTAAACCGAACACTCCTGTCCACACAAAGATAAGAATCTCGACGCTCTGAAACAGGCCCTCGTTTGAATCAATCTGGAATGCATTTCAAAGATTTTAAAAAAACATTGATCTGGTGAGGTCTCGGATCTATGTTGGTACTGCATGAAATTGCAAGAGACCTATAGAATCCTATAGACATTATTCAGAAAATTCAAGAACTTACAGAAATACAATTAACTACATGTATCTATATGTCAAAATACAATGTATCAACTTAAGACTCACTATATCTCACAATGACTCACATGTATCAACTCGTGTACTTTTGAAAGGTCGCCTGCAAGGCACAAGACTTGACTGCCTGGACAACCTGGCGCACGAGATCAGAGACGCCCTCTTGAACATGTCAGCAAATGTCAATGTCAGATTCATGGGAATTGCATGGTAAACATTTCTTGTATTTTTTTGTAAACCATTCTAACATACTGAAACTGATTCCAAACAACAAACAAACATTCGATTAGAAGAGAACGACGTCAAAAAAGGTATTGTAATATCTGCAGTAACACGTAATAACAATCCAAAGATGCAGAAATGCCAGCAAATTTTGTATCTCAAAGCTCAGGATGCTCAAAGTCTGTATCTGTCCGTTGCCTTCTCTCCAGCTAAAATTCCCGGGAAGGTCATATCTGCCAGCCTGGACAGCACTGGACAGCACTGGACAACTGATAGCATCCTGTGTGGCCTGTGTCATCCTGTGTCATCCTGTGTCATCCTGTGTCATCCTGTGTCCTGGGTTCGCCGATGGCATGACGCCGTGGGATACGTGGGATACCGGATATGCACTGCGTCGTGCACACTGCCCACCCTGAAGAAATCCCAGGCACTACACACATCTCATGATTCTATATGATTCTCATGTGCAACTGACATGCCAGCCACACCCAGGAGTTTCACCTGGCGGACAAAATGAAATCATGAAATCATGAAATAATGACAGATAATGAAAGTAAATGATCGAATCCTGTGAGTCCTTGACAGTTGCGCGCTGAAATGGATGCTGACGCACGGTTTAGATATGTTCAGTTCCATGTCATCTCATCTCTGAAGCCTGCTCCATCGTAAAGCGACATCAACAACAACGAACAACAACCAAAAAGGAAAGAAAAAGGAAGGAAAAAGGATGGTAAGTGTAACCGGACTTCTAGGTGAAGTCCAGAGCGCAATGCTTTTAGTGTGTGTGAGACCCCTTCGTTTGCCCTGTTAGTCTCTCAGTTTCTCCATGCCTCTGCATGTTCATGAACATCTTCTGCCCTTCCCTTGCCATTAGACTCTGGCTTCTGCTCCTATTAAGTCTGCCAGTTTGGCTGGACACAGCTCCCGTTGCCCGTTTCTCTGGCCTTAGTCACATGGTTTTGTACCTTGTCTTGGGTCTACAAAGAAAAAACTGCTCCGAGTTTGGCAAAACTTGTGAGAGTACAAAATGTACAAAGAGCCATTTGCCTGTCAGCCAATGAATAAGTTGTAGGCATGTGATCGCATGGGTATGTATACGTACTATGGCCAAATGGTTTCTACATATAGGCAATCGCAAAATATCACAAACATATGTTTCGCAAGATTTTGCCCCCCTTGCACAAAGTTTTTCCAAAAAGATTGCTGCCGAGCCTTTGAATGACCAAATCATTGAAGTGGTGTTCATTGCGTTTCCTGTTTTCCCCATATTGAGCACTTAATGTAGCTAATGCATCCCACCTGTCCCTTTTCCAAAGTAGCCTATGGCATCCTATGGCTGTAGAAGGAGGTCCTGAATTTTCCGCATCTTCCTGACTTGAGCTCCGAGCCTTGGATATCCTGGCAGAATCGGCCACTGATTGCTGTAATCTTTTGGACCCTGAAAAAAAACATGGAGAAAGCCATGCGAGGTTCATGGAGGGATCAAACATGCTCGAAACCTTTGGATATTTGACAGACACTTGACAAATGACTAGAGAGTCCATAGCACCAGTGGAATGATCGCATTTTTGATTGTGTTAGATTTCTAAGAATGCCAGGAGCCAAGAAAAGCAAGGCACCTCGATATTGAGACTTGATGACCTTAAGAATCCTCAAGGCATCTAAAGATTATTGTAGATATTTCATGATATTTCTGCATTTGAGATGTTCTGAAGGTGTGAAGCAGTGTTGTTCTATATTGTTCTATGTTGTATGAAGTTGTATGAAGTTCTTCAAAAATGTTCAAAATATCAACAGTTTCAGATTTCATCTGATTTCATCAATCTCCGCGCCTGGAGCTGACGCCTGCGCAGTCCCAGTCTGCCCAGTCTGCCCAGTCTGCGCTACAGGCGTTCCCACAGCTGTGGGAGTGCCAGGCGCGACAGGCGTTGAAGCCGTCACAGGAACACCCACAGCCACTGGCAAAGTGGGTGCCCTCGTGGACGTCAAGGCAGCTGCGACGGCATCCTGCAACAAGAATGATCTGCATGGATTGCTATGGTGCTGCTATGGTGCTGCTATGGTGCTGCTATGGTGCTGCTATTGTGCTGCTATAGCTACTATAGCTGCCACTGCTCAGGATGAGGGTATACTTTGAG